TTGCAGCCAGAGAGAGGAGTGAGAAGATGTGAGAAACTTGGCAGACACCCAGGTCAGTGCAGAAGGAAGAGGAAGAGGTGCTCCAGGCACCGGAGCAGAGATTCCCCTGCAGCCCATGGAGAAGACCATGGTGAGGCAGGCTGTCCCCCTGCAACCCATGGAGGAAGGACGATGGGGAATAGAGATTCCTCCTGCAGTTCGTGAAGGACCCCACGCTGGAGCAGGTGGAGGCACCCAAAGGAGGCTGTGACCCCATGGGAAGCCTGTGCTGGAGCAAGCTCCTGGCAGGACCTGTGGCCCCGTGGAGAGAGGATCCCATGCCAGAACAGGTTTGCTGGCAGGACTTGTGACCCCGTGGGGGACCCACACTGGAGCAGTCTGGTCCTGAAGGTCTGCACCCCATGGAAGGGACCCAGAGTGGAGTAGTTCATGAAGAACTGCAGCCTGTGGGAAGGACTCACATTGGAGAAATTGGTGGAGGACTGTCTTCCGTGAGAGAGACCCCATGCTGGAGCAGGTGAAGAATGTGAGCAGGAGCAGCAGAAATGTGTGATGAACTGACCGCAACCCCCATTCCCCAGGGCGAGTGGGTAGAAATTGGGAGTGAAGTTAAGCTTGGGAAGAAGGGTGGGGGGAGATGTTTTAAGATTTGATTTTATTTCTCATTGCTCAATTATGTTTTGCTTGATAATAAATTAGATGAATTTTTCTCTAAGTTTAGTCTGTTTTGCCTGTGACGATGATTGGGGAGTGATCTCTCTCTGTCCTTATCTTGACCCACAACCCTTTCGTTATACTTTTTCTCCCCTGCCTAGTTAAGGAGGGGCAGTGATAAAGCAACTCTGGAGGGTCAACCCACCACAGTCCTTTTCAGCACCCAACATGGGGCTCAAACCCATGATCCTGGGATTAAGAGTCCCATGCTCTACCAACTGAGCTAGCTGAGCTCCAGTGTGTGTCAATACAAGTGCCCTGTGGGCTGCCTAGCTACTGCCTCAGTTTGCATGCATGCATGGGTGAGACAAGAGGACTTTGCTGCCTGTACTAGGCAGTGACAGTCTGTGACCCTGAGGTTACATGACTGCAGATGACGTGGGAAATGCAGCACTTCAAACCCCTGTATCCAAAACAAACAGTCTGACTGTCAAGCTGTGGGCTATCACCTGGGAGATGTGTGCTCTCTGTGCCCTCACCAGCCAGCATGCAAGAAAGAATTGCATTTCAGGAGAATGCCCACAAAGAAACAATGGGGGTGGCCTGGTGATGAGGGCAGCCAGATGGGAGGTGAATTCCTGAGTGGCTCCTGGGCGGCTTATCTATTTAGATTCCAGAGAAAACCGAGTATTTATTCTGGCACCAAGACCCGGAACTAACAGATGTTTATTCATGTTGAGGGTCTGCTCTTCCTCGTTTTGGGGGTGCACAGTGACTCTGTGTGATTGCCACCCGCTGAGCGCTAGCAGGATGAGTGGCTACTGTGCCTCTGCTTGATGATGAGACTGGTGTTTCCTGTGAATATGGTAACCTTAGGCATTATGTAGGTGGGGACAACATCAACACAGAGGCAGCCATGTTGTGCAAAAAGTTGTCGCTGCCTTACCTGATGTCTGAGCTGTCAATATGTGTTAGGCATGTTCTGGGACCATCTTGGTGTGAGGCTCTTCAGGTATTTCTATGGTTATTTGAGTTTTCTTTTTTCTTTTTAGGAAGAATGAAGTTGCATAAGTATTTTAACTGTCGGGCTGATATGCTGTTTCTATTGTACATCATAGGGATAGATAGAATTTCAGCTTATTGGGATACAGGAAAGGCAAGGTGAGCTGCCACATTTTATTACTTTAGCTCTGGGGATATTTCTTTTCAAGCTGACATAAAGAAAAATTCCTATCTATCTCCACTGTGATTTCAGAATCATGAGGTTTCCCATGAGGAGTGCTCTAAATTATACTTTTAAAACCCTGGAGCGTTATGAGTGTGATGTAACGTGAAGCTGCTGAAGCACCTAATCAACATTTGTACTTGTACTTCCTTATAAAAGGTCCATAAAATTTCACTTTCCTTAATGCATATAAATGATTTCACAACTTACTTCCATGACAACTGTAAAAAGTTTGCCTATCTAATCAGTGTCTTATTAATGAGGAGTATGTTATCTTTGCAGGCTGCTTTTTTTATTGCGTACATGTTTATAAGCTTCCTCGTAAAATGGTCAGTGAGGTCTTGAAAATCTTCAGGAACTGTAAATGCACATTATTTATGGAGAAAAACTGCAGAGTGAAAGTACAGTGCCTCTCTCTTACTCTTTCTTTGATCAGCCAATGTCTGTTTGGGCTTTGTTCATAGTTTTTTTAGTTTTTTGAAACAGTAACTTGTTATTTTGAATATTTATGTATCAGAGAATACTGATCTGAGCACAAACTAAACTTTGATTCAGCAGAGCTCAGATACACAACAAAGATATCAAAGGGGCCAATGTGTGTATTTATTCTGTTATCCATATAAGGGATGACCTTTCATACCTCTCCACATTTCATCTACAGGAAGGTAATTTTATACATCCCTGAGATGGAAAGTTTCTGCCAACTACACAACCAATGTAATCATTGCCCTTCTGTGCCAGTGGTTCTGTGCCAACAGGATGTTAGAGAAGGTATCTCCTTCTCAGATCAATTTAGGTTCTCCTGGCATTTATCTTTCTTTATTATGGATGTGTGTATCTGAGTAATATCTTCTGTTGCTGATGCAAACATGGAATTGTATGAAGTCTGCTTGTGTGGATCTATCTGTGCCTATATATTTTTATTGACATGTGGTTTTAAACCACATTCAGAGAGACCTGGAAAAGCTCAAGAAGTGAGCCCTTGTGACCTCATGAGGTTCAACAAGGCCAAGTGCAAGGTCCTGCACCTGCATTGTGGCAACCCCCAGTATCAATACGGACTGGGGGATGTGCGCTTGCAGCCCAGAAAGACAACTGTATCCTATGCCGCATAAAAAGAAGTGTGGCCAGCAGGTCGAAGAGGGTGATTCTGCCCCTCTACTCCTCTCTGGTGAGACCCCACCTGGAGCACTGCACCCAGCTCTGGAGTCCTCAGTACAGGAAAGACATGGACCTGTTGGAGTGCGTCCACAGGAGGGCCACAAAAATGGTCAGAGGGATGGAACACCTCCCCTGTGAGGAAAGGCTGAGAGAGTTGGGGTTGTTCAGCCTGGAGAAGAGAAGGCTCCAGGGATGCCTTATTGCAGCCTTTCAACACTTAAAGGATGCTTATAAGAAAGATGAGGACAGACTTTTTAATAGGGCCTGTTGCGATAGGTCAAGGCAAAATGTTTCTAAACTAAAAGAGGGTAGATTCAGACTAGATATAAGGAAGACATTTTCTACAATGAGGGTAGTGAAACACTGGAACAGGTGGCCCAGAGAGGTGGTAGATGCCCCATCCCTGGAAACATTCAAGGTCAGGTTGGATGGGCCTCTTGAGCAACCTGATCTAGTTGAAGATGTCCCTGCTTGTTGCAGGGGGGATTGGACTAGGTGACTTTTGAAGGTCCCTTCCAACCCAAACCATTCAATAATTCTACGATTCTATTTCAAATCCCTTTGAAGTCTTATGCATTATTGAGAATGGGCTGAGTTAAAAAGTCCATAAACAAAAGACCAACAAACCAACCCATTCTTCCTCTTTGGGGAGGACTGTATATTGATGTGGAACAGAACCTCAGCAGGCAGGCAGACCAAAGGAGTGATTAGTTTTGGCACAGCAGTACATTATTTTTCCTCTCCCAAAGTCTCCTTGAACACCTTTAGCTACCTGTCTTCCTTTTTTAGCTTTGTGATTGTCCTCTCAGAGAGTTCTTGTCTTGCAAGACATGCAAGATAACATAACCCTGTTGGGGAGTGCCCTGCTGAGGGATAAGCAAGGTAATCCTTCCTTCCTTAGGGGAAAATTGAGTCAAGTATGCATCATCATCTTTATGGTTTCGTTTGGAGCAACATAATGATATCTGTCTCTGAATGGGATCCTCTTTGTGATTTTGAAGGTTCAAAGGGGCTTTTTGGTTCCTCTCTTGTTTGGTTGATTTTTTTTGGTCATTCAGGAAAATATGTGGGAGTTGAAGATTACATCACGATTCTTTTTAGACTAATTTTCTAAGAGAAAAGTTGTCAAGAAATGCCATTTTACTTGGCACTTTGAACCTTTTCTACAGCTTTCAGAAGAAATCATGAATTGTTTGAACATTGCTCAATATCTCAGTATAATAAGGGAAAATAATCAACTAACTTTTCAGGAATCTGTTTTATTTTATGTGACTTCAGTATACAGTCTGTAATTATGGTCATGGGCAATTGTAAGTTTATGACATTTTGCGCTTTAAAACTAGCTGTATCAACAGTGACTGTTATGAATGCTTTGGAATGGTATGCCCCATAGAATTTTAAACCAAAGTATGTTATAACTTTATTTTACCCTCAAAGAGAAACTTTTTTATGCAGGGCAGACCCAGGTCTTGAAGGCAGCATAATGTGATTTCTTTGTGTTTTACGAATGCAGCAGAGAGAGTCCTTGTCCTCAGTCCAGCCTCTGTCACATCCATAACACGCCTTGGCCCAGAAGAAGCCCCACCACAGATGTGGAGAGAAAATTGCCAGTGATTTTTTGACACTATGGGAAGCCATAGGCTCTTTTCTTTTATATGGTATAAACTGTATAGAAAAACACTGGTATCAGCTGAGGTCTGAGCCATAAGAGGATTCACGTTGACAAGCAATGCCAAAAGTTGACGTTGCAGAACTGCTGCATCTTTTGCCTGAGACTCCTTGACCACCCACTTCAGGGTGACTGCTGAGCTACACGTACAAACAGGGAGGAACCTAGGTCTTTCCCTTTACTATTTATGTCGAGACTGCATGCAGCCTTTTGCTTACCCACCTTTCTTCCTCAAAAGTCCTTATGCTCTATGGCAAACCTCTGTGCTGTGCTCGTGCTTGTCACTGCCAGGCTGTATCGTGGGTCTGACCAGTTATAGAGAAAAATGATCGTCTAGGTCTGCCATGGAAGCAGGAATTGAGGTCTGCAATTTCAGGTTGTGGTGGGCACAGCTGGGCCATTTCTGTTCTATTGCTCACTCCGGAAATGTAGCACTGAGAGCTATTTCTTTATTTTGATCCACTCCTGAAAAGCGTTGAGTTTTACTATTGTCAGACCATCATAGCATTGGTAGTCCATTCCTCTGCCACAGGGTAGCATGAACTGTGCCTATACCATTTCTGAAGAAATCAGAAGTTACTACTACTAGCCTTTTCTTAAAAAGTAAAGGGAGGGAGGTGGGCATTTCTCTTTTGCTATCTCTCCTGAGTGAATGTCGTGGTTTAACCCTGGCTGGCAACTAGGTACCACACAGCTGCTCACTCACTCCCCCCCGTGGTGAGATGGCGGGGAGAATCAGAAGGGTAAAAGTGAAAAAGAAACTTGTGGGTTGAGGTAAAAGCAGTTTAATAATTAAGACGACATTTAAAAAATGTAAGGAAAAAAAAACAACAAAGGGAGAGGAAAATAAAACCCAAGAAAAACAAACAATACAAATGAAAACAATTGCTTGTCAACAAATGACGGATGCCCAGACAGTCCCTAAGCAGTGGCCCTCCCACCAGCTTCCCTCCCCTAGTTTTATTGCTGAGCATGACATCATATGGTATAGGATATCCCTTTGGTCAGCTGTTCCACTGTGTCGCTTCCCAACTTTTTGTGCACCCCCCGCCTAGTCACTGGCAGGGCAGTGTGAGGAGCAGAAAACACCTTTATGCTGTGTAAGCACGCTCAGCAGTAACTAAAACATCCCTGTGTTATCAGCCTATTCTCAGCAAAAATCCAAAACATAGCCCCTTACAAACTACTATGAAGAAATTTAACTTTATCCTAGCCAAAATCAGTACAGTGAACTGGAA